CGTTATAACCAAAGCCAACAAGGGAAACGTCACTATGATAATGAACAGGACTGATTGTGAAAAGAAGTCGACTGAACACCTATCGGATGGACTATCCTTACTTACTGAAGAAAAGAGGAAATATGCTGAACTCAGCAAAGTGAAACTGAACACCAACAAACTCTTTCAAGAACTAAAACGCAAAAATTAACAATTCTCTTTGGTTTAAACTGAAACCAAAATCTTATGAACCTTCAAGATTCCACGGTCAACATAAGATATGTAAACCCACAGTTTCATTAAGACCAGTAGTAGATTTCACCAACTCACCGACATACAACCTCCCTAAATACTTATTTTCGATACTACAACCACTACAAAATGACACTCAAAATATTATAAAAGATTCATAAGATTTCAAATCCGAAATAGAACACCAAGAAATTGATAAGGAAGATATTATATTAAGCTGTGATATTAACTCATTATATGCTAGTATTCCAATCACCGAAAGTTTTGATATCATTTTCACTTTACTAGAATCAGACACACCCTACCGCAAAGATGTCCACTGGACAGCAGTGAAATAATTAAGAGCTTGAAATTCTGTCTAGAAAGTAATTATTTTGCATTTAAAGGGAATTTGTATAGGCAGACAAATGGTTTTGTTATGGGTTCACCAGTTTCCCCAACAGTTGCTGATCTTTTTATGAATAGATTCAAAGATAACATCTTTTTAAGCATACTTACTCCTAAAATATGGTTAAGATACATCAATGATACTTGTGCTGTGCTAAAACGAGATCTACACAATTTATTCTTGGAGGAACTGAACAGTCTATCCCTCAGCATCCAGTTTACTTCGGAAGCAGGATCAGACTGCCTAGTTAAGAGAAGGGAAAACGGATATTTTAGTATATCTAAATTCAGGAATAAAATTCACTGCAACAAATATTTAGACTTTGGATCATTGCACTCCATGAGCCCAAAGGTATCAGTCGTTTCAAGTCTTCTAAGACGAGCACACTCTTTGATAACAGATGAGAAGGAAAGCGAAGGAGAAATATCGAATATAACTGAAATTCCTTCAAAAGAATCTGTCCAAATAACTTCAACAACACCGATATCAAATGCAGTCGAAAACATATTCTGAAGATGTGGACCTCAACAGTTATGATTCCGTATTGATTGGAAGCGTTGGATGATATCAGGAGAGTACTCGATAAACACAGTATCAGAGTTTGCTTCAAAACATCAGACACAACCTACGAGGTACCATTATTCATGTAAAAGACAAAATCCCTAGGGGATCTCAATCTGATTGTCTCCATAGAATAAGATGGTTGGAATGTGATGCGATATACATCGACAAACATCTCTGGAGATGAAGGTAATCAGGAGAAATGAACACCGTAGAGCATCTGCTCGACCACCGAGGAATCCATTTGAACTGAAACAGCTTGAAAATTCATCAGCCACATAGTCCACACGCTATAGAATCAGGCCACAGATTTGGTTTCCACGATTTTGAAATAATCCAGGAAAATGTCAGAATCCACAGGAAACGTCTGACATCATCAGAAGCACTTAGTACCAAATGGAATCCAAATTGTGTGAATAGGAATGATGGACTGAAACAGAATTTCACCTGGTTACCAAAGCAGTGCCACTCGACTCCCCATGAAAATGACAAAATCAACACGAATGTGATAGGCGATATCACTATGTAAACACCTGCTGTTTTTATGATTTCATACGCTTATCAAATCCAACAGTCTACATTTGATTTTGGTATTTTATTTACTAGCTTTCCGAATCGACAACGTTAAAATTACCCCATACTGGTGAACGATGATTAAGTTGTTATATTTAAACTGAGATTTGGTAAATTCTAGTTTATTAGTACTTTGATAAAGCTATTAACATTAAATAGCGAAACGTCAATAAAAACAACAGTATCGTTTTGTTTTTCATTCATTGGGAAATACAAAATGCCTTCAGTGAAATGTGCGTCGGTGACACAGTGGTTAGGATGCACATGGTCCGGGGTTCGATCCCCGGCCGACGCACTCTTTTACCTCGCTAAGCCAGAAATAAAAGCTGGTTAAGGGGAAAGGTTGGGCATGAGGCTAGCAACCTCATCCTTTAAAAATAAGCACTGCTAAAGAAACTTCAAGCCTCTAGCTTGAAGCCCTATGTTCCACTGGGAACGTGAAGGAATAAAAAAAATAATGAATATCATATGCCCAATGCACGAATTTTTCAAACTGTTAAAAGTCAATTTGGCTTGGACATATATAAGATATCTCATTAATTTGATACTTTCTTTTTTAAATTGGAGATTGAATGCAAGTGTCTTCCTAATTTTCGGAAATAACACACAAGCACATTCGTATATAATCGATAAATGTTCAAAAGGAATCTGATACAATATTCACGCAGTATTAATAACCCGATGACAAGATTTCGAGCATACATTATTGCTGCTCATATTCTTATCAATTTAGCCACACGGCTTCACAATTTATTGACGTAAGGACCGCATAGATCCAATTAAGAAAAATAATTTAATTTATCAAATACCAGGCAATGACTATGGGGTCAATTACATAGGTCAGTTCAACTAATAGATCGAGGTCAACTTGATTATTGGAACATTGGGATTTAGCTAGACCAAGGTTGAGTGACCCTGTTAAGTTAATTCGCCTAGAAAGAAGCTCAGCCACTGCATTGCATTCACTTGCATATAATCACGAAATAGGTATTGCGGGAGACGATGAAAGTATTAGAAGGTAATAAAGTTAGGTGGAGTGAGAGAGAGGTTAATCACTGAAGTTTTGTTCATCTAACCAACGCTAGACACCTTCAATCGGAATAACACAACGTCAATGTCGGAGATATGGAAAGTTTCAACAAACAAAAAGGGGAAGACGGAGAGAGACTGAGGGAGAAAATATATATGTAAGACAAATTGTGGAGCTGTGTGACTAAACTAATATGATTATGAGCAGCAATAAATTATGCTGGAGCCTGCATAATTTAACAGGGAACTTTCTTAATCGGATTCAGCAAAAAAACAATCACTTGACTCAACTAACTTTGGAGATAGATACCTAATTTTATCTATCACAAAGTACATCATAGAGACGGGTCGTAAGTCATAAAGTTGACTTTGACACTGCTTTAAACACGGATATAAAACACGATTGCGTCACAAGCACACTTGAATTGGTTAAAGCCTAGGATACATAGATTGGAAAATTTTTAGTTATTACATTGAACGTACCTCGATAATCAAATTATAAAGCCAAGACATTTTCGGATAATACAGTGTTCTACCATTGTTTCCTAAGCACCTGTCTGTGATTTTGACTACTGAATGTACCTTTCAACCTTTTATACCTCGTTAATTTTTATGCTAATACGCACGACAAGCCTATGTGTGACCAGAATATTCAAAATGTATCGTGCGATTACATTTCACGTTTCAGATAAATTACATTATCTTATTGTTTTGTCAAAAGTCATAAAAATAAAAGGTAGAAATGGTTACAACAAGTGGATTGCATAATGCATAATCATTTGGAAAAATGGAGAGTAATTAAGGAATAAACGAGTGCACAAGTTGAACACGTAATAGATTATTAAAGAAAATAAAACGATTTGGACAATGGTAATTTGTAACTAAGGTTGAAGTGGTCATAAGAATAAAATAATTTTACAAGGATAACACGTAATTAAAGATGAAGTGATCAGAAAAAACAAAATAATTTGAACAATTTTAATTTAATTTTAATTTATCCTTGTAAAATTATTTTATTTTTATGACCACTTAACCTTAGTTACAAATTACCATTGTCCGAATCGTTTTATTTTCTTTAATAATCTGTTACGTAATCAACCTATGCACACGTTTATTCTTTAATTACTTTAGATAAAGCAATAAGAAGACGTAATTTGTCTGAATCGTGTGATGTATTTGCGCAACACACTTCGAACAATCTGATCACACACGGACTTTTCATAGGAATATATATGAAATTAATAAAGAGGTAAGAGGTGAGAAAATAGACTTAGGTCAAGTTTAAAGGACATATTCAAGGTCAAAGTAACAATGAAGACCACTAAACCAAATAACAGAGGTAATAGTACATCTGCTATGGTGTCAAAACAAAATTTACCAAGGAAGGTTTAATGTGATGATGTATTGTTGCTTTGAACGCATAAAGGTGGTTTAAATTTTCTAATTGCCACCTAGGGCTTCCACAAACTTTAGGATACGCCCCAAACACGTTTTATAGATAGGTTTAAAAGATCTGTTAACGTCAATTTTGTCCTGTCTCTATAATATGTTTCGCAATAGAAGAGCTAGGTCTCCTGTTCTCACCGTTAACAGGTTCTGAAGATTCCATTTGTTTCTGGAGCCATTTGGGAATATGCTGTGAAGCCCTTACTTGCAGAGATCGATGAGTCCTCCCTATGTACGTGTGTTCACACGTACATTTAAACTTGACCTAAGTCTATTTTCTCACCTCTTACCTCTTTATTAATTTCATACAAATTACTATGACAAGTCCGTGTGTGATCAGATTGTTCGAAGTGTGTTGCGCAAATACATCACACGATTCAGACAAATTACGTCTTCTTATTGCTTTATCTAAATTCATAAAGGGAACTAATTGTTTTAAATCCTTAATTACTCTTCATTTTTCCAAAATTGTGCATTATGCAATCCACGTGTTGTAACCATTTCTACCTTTTAATTGTGTGTAATAATTTTCTTCGTTAATTATCACACCATTGACATGTTGACACTGACTAAGAGTCATAAAACTAAGTAATCACTTCATAACTCTCCTTCCAATTATATGTATTAAAAAGAAGAAAAGAAAAAAATAATGAGATGCATGATTATTTGACGATAACAGTGACAGCTTTCAATCAACAAACAAGATATGATTGGTGAATTTAACGTCCTTGAATGCGATTAAACAAGAATTGGTTTTCAATGTTTCAATGGCTCAGGAATCCCCATTTATTTTATTATTATTATTGTGACAAGTTTTTGAATTTAACAATTTCTCAGTTAATTCACTGATAACATTAAAAGCATATTCTACGTGTTGTTTATTAGGTGAATGATAACAAACAGCAAAACGAATAAAGAATAATGGTTCTGGTGATTCGAATTCAGAAGATATTAAATGAATTCTGCCATCATCTTCAATATCATGATAAAGTTGTCTTGTCAATTCATTATCATTCTATTAGGAAACGAATAAACAACAAGCAAGAGAGAGTTCAAATAGTTCATAGATGAAATATGGTTGTTTTTGGAAAAAATTATATTCTATTTTAAGTTAAATCATGAACTTTTGATTTAGTCGTGTCCCCTGAACTGGTTTATTTAAATGTGAAGCCTTCGTTGTCCTTCTAGACAACATCTTCAGTTCAGGTTTTAGTATGTGCGTCGGTGGCACAGTGGTTAGGACTCTCGCCGACCATGCACATGGTCCGGGGTTCGATCCCCTGCCGATATCTATGGTCGGCCTGAATTTGGGCTACCGATATCCATGCTGAAAATTCCATACTTGTACTGAAAATACGGTGTGGAATCAAGCTGTAAATAAAAATAAAAAAATAAAAATAAACTTATTTGAATTCTTTATGAATGGCCTGATTGTCTCTCCTGACAATCATTGTTTGATGGAACTTATTTTCTATAAGTTGGTAAATTTGGTCTGTAGTAATATGTACGTGAGTAGTGGATTCATCTGGGTACCAGGCATCAAGAAGTCCCCTGGCATTTTCGGCGTGTTTCCTGTGTTTAAAATTTATACATTCTCCCAATCAAACTGATGTGGTATCCGTAGTCACCTACATGCCTTAGTAAGAAGGAACATATATCGTGTCTTTTCAGAGGTAATTAATGCTCTTGGGTTCTGAGTCCAAGGGGACGCCCATTTTGACCGATTTAGTGTGTATACAACTTATTTTGTAAATGGTATTGATCCCATTTTCTTTTTCTGTTGATTTCTGGGATGCACAGTATGCTCTTGGTGTTGTCGTGTGATACGGATAATGTGTTCCAACGGAATATTATTGTCATATATTCCCACAGTTCAGTACTGGATTACAAACAGAGTACTATATATGTATTTGAACATTCTATTTCATGTCGTTTAATGTAAACCAAAATCACACGCACAGTTGTTGGTTAAAGAATTTAAACCGTATAGATACAAATAGCGGTTTCATCAGTTGAAAATACATCTTGGCTTCCATGTCTTGCCTTCTGATGTTGCATCAGTATTCTAGCCATTTTAAATAAACTTGGCCCCCAAGCCAACACAATCACTTCAATCGATTTCATACTAAAACCTTCACTGAAGAAGTTGTCTAGAAGGACAACAAAGGCTTCGTAGTTGAATAAACCAGCTCAGAGAACACAACTAGATCAAAGACATCCACCTGAGCTACAACTCTTCTCCATTAGATCATGAACTGATATGATCTAGAAAATCTGTGATAATGAAGAAGTACTGGATAGATATTTCCTCTCAATTCGGATATCCTCAGAAGTACTTCCGCATGACAGTGCTTGCTGGCCATGTCAAATAGATCCACACCACACAAAACGACCGGTTCAATCGTTTGAGGCTGAATTCGTCAGTATTGTACTTCGGTTGACTTAGTTTACTGGGATGAGTCAGAGCAAATCACTCAAATTCTGGTCTGTAACCTTTGTCGAATTGGTTGTACATAGAATCCTATTCACAGTTTGCAAATTCCACAGTTCATTTTACAAATTCTTGAATGTAATCGCTAGCATCGCATTTTGATGCTCACTAGACAACACCGCAACAAAGCAATGTATCATCGTTTATTCTGTATCCACAAGTATGCGGTTCTCATGTGCATTGGTGGCACAGCGGTGGAATTCTCCACAGCCATGCATAGGGTCCAGGGTTCGTTCCCCGGCCGGCGCACTCTTTTACCTCCCTTGGTCAGAAATAGAACTGTCAAAGAGGGAAGGTTGAGCATGAGGCTAGCAAACCCATCCCGTAAAAATAAACACCACTCCTAAAGAAACTTCAAGCCTGTAGCTTGAAGCGCTACGTTTCGCTGGGAACGTAAAGGAATAAGAAAAAACAGGTACGAGGTTATGTTAAACGTATTCACAAATTAGCGTGAGTGTGCAAACTGGTTTATGTATTAATAAGAGAAATTAGTCTCATGGAAATTACGCAGTCGTAGCGGCAAGATCTAGTGTCGCCACCAATCTGCATTTATATATATATATATTCATATAAATTTCATCCTTTGCGTTCTGAGTGGTACGTAGGACTTCGAGTCATAGTTTGGGTTGGAGTTGCTTCACGCCCAATCCTCCCTCTTTTTGGACCTTACTGCTGGCTGGTTAAGGTTTAGGAGTGAATCGCCCGGGAACAGAGCCAGAATCCTCCTCGTGCCATATGTATATAGCTACTTATGGATTTTATCAGACTTTTGGTAGAAGTGTGATAGTTTCGTCCTTATGAAAATAAATATCTGAAGACTGATCCACTTATATACAATTTTGTAGAAAACTGAATCCTCTAAAAGATTCCCTTAGTGTGGAATTGACTGGATGAACAACTTAGCTTTTTGAATCACAGCCCACAATATGTTACATTGAATTATATCCGGGGTTGTTGAGGAATATTAGTCGGAGTAACTACCATGAAATCTCTACTCTCGTTACAAAACTGGGGGGTGTTAGGCATATAATGTGACACCATTGTAGCTGGCCTACGAACACTTAGTCTGTTTGTCTCATCAATGCGTAAAACGAAAAAAAGAATTTCATTTCCCTTAGTAACTATTGGTCTCATGAAAACAGAAGTAAACATTTTTGTCACTATGAAGTAAAACACAATCAACATTAACTAACCTTCAGTCGGAAGCAGACAAGACCCAATACGACATCAGCAATAATTTCAAAACGTTCATCACGTAGCATAAGTTCTTCAAAGTAATGCGCTAACTCAATATGCTGAAATAAAATGATTTACGATTAAGAAAATATATAAAAGGGGGTTTATCACCTACATTACGAATATATGCTTGCAGTTTCTTTACGCCATATCTTCTCAGAGTGAACCAGATCTTCAGGGAGCGAAATCTTCTACCCAGTGGAATATGCATATGCTGCCAAAGAAGAAGAATCAACGATGAAAGTAATACATACAATTATTCGTAATTAAAGAAAACGCTCTGTGTGTGTCAAGACAGATTGCGTCACGAATCAACATCATCCGAAAAATCAAAATCTTGGCAGTTAATCCAGTGTTCCTTATTGACTGATTAAGCAAGCTGACTTCAGCAAGTACTGAGTACTGGGTCATGAGGTGTTGGTCCTCCTATTTTTTGGGTAGAAAACAACATATTGTTTTAAACAGGTGATCCACTTCTCTGGTAACTCTAAACCGGTGTCCCCCAAAGCATTGTGCTCTCTCTTCTCTTTCTTTTTGTACGACCTTCCGTATGCTTCTAAAGCTACTTTCATAAGATATGCCGAAGATCTAGCTAGTAGTTTCTGCATTCGACTGTTCTTATATGATGAATAGATTCTCATTTGAAGTTAACAAATAGTCTCAAATTAATGGTCTTAAACTAAATCCATCTAAATATGATATTTCTAAACTTAGCTTCAGACGCGAGGGAGACTGGCGTGAAAGGCCGATTAAGTCCCATAATTCCTGTAATATTGACAGCTCTATGATACGGAGTACATCGAATATGTCTTATCTCGATATCAGTTTCTCTTCAGATCTCTGTTGGTTGTCTCATATCCTGTCGATTTCTAAGATGTTTCGTTTGTCTTATTACATAACGACGTCGAAACTTCCCGCTGGCATAACTCAACCTCTTCTCTTACGATTTATTGATTCACGTATTGTGGCTATTCTGCTTTATTGTTCGCCATTATTTTCCTTGAACTTCTCAAAAAAGACTTTTTTAGATTACGTAGAACACTGAAGGCTGTAAGTAGTGTTAGTGGTGTGCCTCTGACTTAACTAACTGACAATATTGTCAATAGGCACTTCAATTCTTGCAAGCAGTTGGCTAGAGTTATGTTTTCTGATACAGAACATCCTCTTTATTCTCAACTTTCTCCTTTAATCTTTTCGGGTAAAACCAGGGGTGAAATTTCGTAATGATTTGTGGTCGTACAGCAAAATATCAAAACCCAACTATACTATGTTTAGCACGGCTTTCGTGTAAACAGAGAGTCAGATGTCAGAGAAGAACTTACAAAATTTTCAAATCAATAAGTGAACTGAAAAGTATAATCAAAGATTATTATTACTGCATGTATTATCTACGATATTATCTATTTATGCATCATTATGTTTCTACCAACTTTCTGTTTATGTTGGCTTCTTCAATAATATTTTTTTTCATTTTTTTATTATAGCTTGAAACCACACCGTATTTTCGGTACAAGTATGGAATTTTCAGCATTTGATAGCGGCAGCCCAAATTTCGCAGGCCAACTATTGATATCAGGTGTGCGTCGACATTGGATAGAACCCCGGACCATTTGCAGGGTCGGCGAGAGTCCTAACCACTGTGCCACCAACGCACTATTTTAAATTTTATGTGTGTAGAGATTGATAAAAAAGGAGCTAAATTGTTGCAATTTGTATAAAAACGCTGGAAACTCCTTTCTGGTTAATAATTATTGTTTAGAATAAAGTGATTATGCTATTATTATTATTATTTTGGAGATACGACAAGAAGTGTGACCCACCAAGTTGGGTGTGAGGACATTGGATGGCTTTGGAAATATATAGCAAGTCGACAGAAATTAAAATTCAGGAGCTGTTGGACTTCCCCTAGGTTGGGAAAGCTATGCAATTGATCAATAGTTCCCTAAATGATTTCGCTGAGTGGTGAAACTCACTTTGTCCATAATTTGAATGGTATAAATAGGCGGAATCTGAATAAATGACTTGATTATTGGATAAATTTGTCTGATTTAGGAGTTTTTTTCATTCCTTTGCATGTCGTATGGTACTTAAGGCTTCAAGTTTTGAAGTCCTGATGTCCATGAAATTGGGCATTTCGGTAGCAATATAATTCCGTATTCCGTTTCACACAGTATCATTTACTGGCTGATAACGTTTTGAACACGCCATGACGTTTGTAATTCTCTTTCTTTCTTCCTATTTGGAATATTCTACTATCCTTACGATAATTTTGGAGGAAGAAAGAAAACTATAAAAATCATGTTTCGCTGTAGTATAGTTACCGTGGGGAAAGCTATCCAATAAATAAGATTATTTCATTGTTTGGATAAACGAATTAAAAATGCTGGTAGTGTTTGTTTTTACGGAATGAGGTTGCTACCCTCGCGCTAAACCTTCTCTTTACTATCGCCGATGTTTAGGAGTGTACTAACCAGGAATGGAAATCGGACAACATGCGCAGCTGATGAGAATTCTGCCATTCCTAGCCAAAAATCCTAAGTGTAAAAGAAGCTTACCTTCATTCAACTAGATTTTATAGGAACACTGAATACCTCATTAGACAGAAACTATCCTGCAAATAAGTTGGTTCCTCTTTATCGGAAAACATACTCTTCGGTGCAATCAAACGTTGGCAGATACCCTTCTCATGTTAACTCTGTGTATGCAAATTTACATGTATCTGAGGGATAATTTACATTGAGAGAAGGGAACACTAGCACCTTCTACTTTTTGAAAATGTACCAAAAAGCCTGAGTTTCAAGAGAAAAAATCTCTTACAATAGTGTTGTTGCTAGGCTTCTGGTCGATGAGGGTCTTGAAATGGATACCATGACAAAATCGTTCATTTCTCCTTAAGTTTTCCAAAGCAGCTGCTATCGAACGCCTGTGACCCTATTTATGTGTTCAGAAGGAAGCAGTTGTTAGTCTTCACTTGCCTTGGTAACCAGATGTCTTCAGTCTCTCCTATATTCGATTGCATGATCTTTGACTTTAACTTGCTATAGTATTCTTTTGCTTTTCTCCTTTCTTTCTATGACTGGAGCTAAACTCACCAAATTATTACTAAATATATTAGTTAAACATCATCTTATTCACGTCATACTTTTATGACGTAACTCTCCCCTACGTTACAATAACTATCTTCAATTACCTCCAACCTTCCTTTTTCATCCACAGTTAAAATCGTCTATAAAACTAGGCGAAGTATTACAGTCATAAAATTCTCTCAAAACGTTGAGTTATTATATCACAGTAATCAAGCTGTGATTTTTTTTCTAAAGTTGCACAAAAGTAGATGGAAATGTTTCCCAAAAAAATTTCTAGACAGGATTTAAGTTGTCTACTGATTTTACTGTTCGATACAGTTTGTCCTAAACTTCAGAAAAAAAATTTCTTTTTCCAACAGAAAACTTATTATCCATATCTGAAGTATCGAATGTAAAATCTGACCAAAATTTTAGAAAAAAAACTAAAAATGTATCACTTATCTAATCTTATCAACAGCAAAAAGAAAGAAGTTTGTTCTATTTTAAAACAGTCATCTCTATTCCTTTTTGGCCTATTAAAAAAATTAGTTATTTTTACATAAGGCGACTGATTTTCTGATCAAACAGATTGAACTGATACAGAATACAAGTTCCATAATGGATAAGATTTTATTTTGATAAATCACACAGTGTAGTACAGTTATATTAACTGATGACGTTTCGAGCATAAACTATTGCTCATAATCATATCAAGTTACTCACACAACTTCTTTCCTTCATTTATATACATGTGTGGAATCGACTAGATATTGGAATAAAATTCAATATGAGATAATGTACATTCAGAAATAATAGTACGAGTGTTATTAATCCATTGCAATTAGATGGGAAATACGACGAGTGTTTTTATAGTCATAATAAGTTGATTGTTAGAATGTGTTGATGTGTTTGAATGGAAATAGAATTTTAAGACTATTTATCATCTTCTTCTGATTTGACTGGTGGCAATAATACGAGTGTTATTAATCCATTGCAATTAGATGGGAAATACGACGAGTGTTTTTATAGTCATAATAAGTTGATTGTTAGAATGTGTTGATGTGTTTGAATGGAAATAGAATTTTAAGACTATTTATCATCTTCTTCTGATTTGACTGGCGGTAATAATATCTTCCATATTTCTGGTATTTGCATTGAGTCACTTCTGTTGCATGTGTTGGGTGTAGACTCGATGAATAAGGATTCCGTAATCAACCTCTCTTTCCACCTACCTATATTACGTTTTAGAATTTTAACCCTATCCCACCCTATTGTGTGGTTGTTTGTTATTGCGTGAAGTGCAATAGCTGAGCTTTTTTCTAGAGAGGTTGATTACGGAATCCTTATTCATCGAGTCTACACCCAACACATGCAACAGAAGTGACTCAATGCAAATACCAGAAATATGGAAGATATTATTACCGCCAGTCAAATCAGAAGAAGATGATAAATAGTCTTAAAATTCTATTTCCATTCAAACACATCAACACATTCTAACAATCAACTTATTATGACTATAAAAACACTCGTCGTATTTCCCATCTAATTGCAATGGATTAATAACACTCGTATTATTGCTACCAGTCAAATCAGAAGCGGATAATAAATAATCTTAAATTGTATTCTATTTCCATTCAAACACATCAAAACATTCTATCAATCAACTTATTATGACTATAAAAACACTCGTCGTATTTCCCATCTAATTGCAATGGATTAATAACACTCGTACTATTATTTCTGAATGTACATTATCTCATATTGAATTTTATTCCAATATCTAGTCGATTCCACACATGTATATAAATGAAGGAAAGAAGTTGTGTGAGTAACTTGATATGATTATGAGCAATAGTTTATGCTCGAAACGTCATCAGTTAATATAACTGTACTACACTGTGTGATTTATCAAAATAAAATCTTATCCATTATGGAATTATACTCTACCACAGTGCCCAAGTTTTATACTTATATCAACAGAATACAAGTACTCATTTGAGTTTATCCCTTCGATACTATTCTGAAATGTGAGCACATTTAAATCGGTGGTTTAAATGCGTAGGTTTTTTATCCAGTAGGTTATATTATATTACACTGGGAAAAATGTAATGTGTCACAGCTTGGTAAGCTCTGATAAATTTTATCAGTGAGTTGTTGAAAATCCATTGGAAATAACCACTAATTGTTCTTAGTGCCGGTTATATTTTGCTACTCATTCTAAAAATAGAGTTTTTAGTTGAACCTTGGTAGTTTGAACACAGAGAAGACAAGGTTTCTGTCTACAATAGAATTAATCAGTGTATTTCAATAGTTGGTTTGTAAGGATTGGATATGTTTTGACGAGTTGATCACGGATTGATATCGGATCAAATCTGATGGTCGCTAGTGACTTGCTACGGGACGGAGTTTCCTGGAGTTCTAGTGAGAAGTCGCGACCAGTGAGGTTCAACCAGTCAAGTGTGAGGATGGATGGATTATCTGTTTTCTGTTTTCTTTTTTCTTACATGACTTGCCCCATTCTGATGTAGCAACTTTTGTCAAGTATGCTGATGACCTCTCTGTCTCCATGCCTGTCAACTCTCTGTCAGACTGTTCCATATTAAATAACTTTCTCTCGGAAATTAGTCAATGGTCCTCTTCAAACGGTCTTAAGCTGAATCCGTCTAAATATCAGGTAGTAAATTTCACTTTCAGACGAAAACGTGACCTACAACAACTAGCTAGCTCAAATGGTCCCACGATCATTGACGGCATAGAGGTTGAAACTATATGTAATGTCAAGTACCTTGGACTGAGTATTTCCTCCGATCTTTCTTGGTCCTCTCACATCTTTCTAGTTACTAGAAAGATTTTTCGCTTAACGTTCTACGTTAGGAAGTTAAGGCAGTCTGGCATAAAGTAGTCTTTGCTTTCTCAGTTTATCAACTCTTGTATACTAACCATCCCTCTTTACTGCTCCCCATTAATCTTTCCTGGACTACTTAAGAAAGACTTTGCTTCGCTGCGTAGGGCACAAAAGCTGTTAGTAGGGGAAGTGGGATTTCGTTAAACCAACTGATTAACACCATTGTGGATAGACATATAATATCATGTAAGAAACTAGCGAATTCTATATTGTCTGACCCCAAACACCCTCTCTATACGCAGCTCTCTCCTTGCATTTCATCTGGTAGAACTAGAAGCAACTATAGGAGGCTATATGCCAGGACTACCAAGTACAAAAACTCCACAATACCTTATCTGGCACAGCTGTTATGTGATGAGAAATCCGTTAGGTATGACACGATCAACTTACTGTGGCACTGTAACAAATAGTTCCCATTAGCTTTTGTTCTCCTTTCTTTGTTACTATTACATTGTTGCTAACATATTCTATTACACACTAATTTTATATTTCATATCCTGTGGTGCATTGTTTAAATATGTGAATACAATGCTGTTCTTTTTTTATTTCTTTTATTTCTCTTTTTTTCTTTTTGTTGCTGTTGCTTATTATTTTTAAAAATCTTATAAAAATTTATGAGGTAATTAGATGCAATATTGTAATGAACGCTGAAAATTCCATACCTGTACCACAAATACTGTTTGGAATAAAGCTATTATTATTTCCCACCAATGACATTGGCTGGTGGTCGCGCCAAATCACCAATCGGTAGAAGTAAAAATTCATGGGCTAGCCACTGAAAAGGTCTCAGTGGCTGAACGGAATACGAGCTTGCCTTGTGCCGGAAGGTCCTAGGTTCGAACCCTAGCGGTGGGTGCGTACTGTCAATGATTCCCAAACTAGGATGAAGCAGCTGTCCAGTACTCCATGGTTCTCAGTGGTTCTCTAACTGATATCATTCCGTGATCAACTAATCAATGTGTATTATTTTAGCTGTTCAATAAGTGATTAGCTCTGAACAATCTCAAAATCTCTTTGACATAACAATGATACTTTAAACTTCTCAAAGAATAAAGTAGATATCTATTATTAAATTGTGCACAGCATGTATAGTCCCCGAAATACTCATTAAGGGGAAACCAAAACAACAATCATTCGTCAGAAGAGGTAGCATATAGTCGAAACATGTTGCTGGCTAATGCTAAGTCATTAGAATGTTCTAATACAAGTGCATCCGATGCGGCTTTAAGATCACCCGTAAACCAACCAGCTGGAAATATCTGGTAACCAGTTCTATGTGTTTTTAACGTCTTACTCTTGTAGAAATAAGGTATTCTACCTTTGAGAAAGAGTTGCCAACACTACAGTCCTACAGGAAGTCAGTCGTCAGTCCGAATAGCTAAGTTGTGACGTCTCTGACTGCAACACTGGCTGGTGACGTGGGTTTGAATCTCAGAAGGGATATGAGTTCCTTCGAGGTTGCAGATACACCTTGCTTATGAGTGCCAATTAACATGAAACCTAGGTCCAAGGCTTCCTGCTGATTGCCTCCAACTATCTAATCTAACTATCCGTTAAACATCTCTGCCACATGGTAGAGGGAGGACTGTTTAAGTTCCATACAGTCCTCTCGCCTTTCGCACTCAGTAAGCAGACGGACAATTACTCATTAAATGAGATCAGTCAGTCTGATTTCATTTTACAACTAACGACTGACGTAAGACACGTAGAGGATGCAGTCGGTGTTGTGGCAGATATCCTAAAGAGGAAAATTTGTGGTTCCCCAATGAAGACCTTTCCTGCAGTAACCCTAAGAGTGCTATTCTCTAACCATCCACTGCTTCTGAGCAATGTGAAGGACAAACTCCCGAATAGGATTACCCCAGTGTGTATATATAAATTCACCTTATCCTGGGGAGCTAGGTACATAGGTGGTTCTGTGCACGTCCTTTCAAAACCTTTCAGAAAACACTGTACAGCGTGGCTGTAAACAGACAGCATTAGTTCAGTTAAAGGCACCATAAATGAACATCTTGTCGGCACCAGTCACAGCATCCCAACTGACTCATCATTCAGAGTCATTCGAAAGGTCAACAAAAACCTACCAAAGGCACTTTGTGTTTCCGACTTCTTTGTACTGAAAAAGTACTCGCCATATGCATTGAAAAGCTATCGCTATGGGTCTAAATAGAACTAGTTCAACTTCTACATCTACCATGAATCTAGTTCGCTTTGACCACTTAGTTTTTGGTTGTTTGATTTCTCATTCCCTTCATTTTTCCATCTTTAGTAATAGATAAGAAGCCGTTATTTCTATTTGTTTTTATGCACACTTCATTCACACCTGGCTTCGTTGGAAACTATGTTACATATTCCGTAACTATTTTCTAGTCCTGCGTAACTTAGTTCTAAGCCCTTTGTAATCTATGTTTACACCTTCGTAATTACATATCAAGTTAAAAGTGATCATCTCCTTTAATGTTCTTCGTGATTATGCGGAATCTGAATAATAATGTTACCTCTGTAAACTTATGTATACAAATGAGATTGTAAAGCTTTCGAGGATGAAATCGCTGAAAGGATATCTTTGCTCAACTTCGTGTTCTTCTCTCTCTAATTACAAATAGTTGGGAGCCAGTTTCATTTGTTTCGAAATGTCTTACTCCTTCAGAAACAAGGTACTCCACCTTCGACAGCAGTTTGCGTAGCTGTTAAGTGCTTCCACCACATGATACAAGGCAGGCCATTTGTGATCTATAGAGCTCTGATGCCTACATGCCCAAAGCAGAAACGGAAAAGTACCCACTACGCCAAACTTCTTACTCTAATTTTATTTCAAGGTTTTTCTGGTGCTAACAGACACGTAAAGGTTGCGGAGAACTGTATGGCTGATGCACCGTCTACAGTACACGTGAATACACTGGAAAACTTTAAAACATTCTGGCTAAGAACCAAGAGAAAGATGGAAAATGGAATCTTGCCAGTTACAATTTAAACGACCTATTTTTTATCTTTAGATATCAGTTTTATTGATTAACTTTCAGTACTGAAAGGCGAATACTGTTTTTTCATTTGTTGTATAGCCATGTCTTTTACTGTCAAACTTAAGATGTGATGTTTTATTCATGACAGGGTATTATGTGATACTGTGGTACTTATTAGTGACAACATGGAATCGGTGAAGAACACCTTCGTGTCAATTACATCTTCACCTATTAATCTGTCGTCGTCTTATCTTAAGATTTTCAACCTAGCGACAAAACAATACTGAAATACAATGTACGAAGAATGATGTTAGTTATGATTTCTACAGACGCATCACCTGATGACGTTACACAACTTTTCATGTCATTAAAACAAATAGCGATTATTTGAAGCTCACCGACCATGCACATGGTCCGGGGATCGATCCCTGGCCGACGCACACCTGATACCAATGGTCGGCCTGCTAAAGTTGGGCTACAGATATCACATGCTGAGAATTCCATACCTGTGTCAAAAATACTGTGTGGAGTCAAGCTACAATTAAAAAAACCTTTAAATTTAAATTTATAATACTTACTCGAAAATCAACAGCATTTTCTTGAAATTCATGCTTCAGATATGGTGGGTCAACATGAAAGGAATTCCTGATCCAGTTCAATTCACGATACCTGGAGAGAAGACAAAAACACCCAGAGTAGATTAAACTACCTATTTTTCAGGCATTTATTCGCCTTTATGAAATGGTTCCAGTATTTATTTTGCTGATCTGTCAGCAACTGCGTAAAGCCTAAGAAATTTGGGATTTTCTGAACACGTAACAAAAAAACCTACGTTCTTAAACAGCAAGCGGTTTCAATAGGGCTACTACCAGATGTCACATCGATATGCGTCATGAGGTGAACAACACAAGCTCCTCTAAAGTTATAAATGGGCGAAATAGCTCAGTTTTGCCCAGGTTTGCAGTAGCGATTGCTATCAAACTCCTGAAATCCAATTAATCTCTTCAGAAAGGAGCAGTTATCAGTCGTTCCTTGCCCCTTTGGTAACTGGATGTTTTCACTCTGTCTTTTTTATTCGATGGCAAAGTTTTCCGCTTTAACTTCTTCTTCGCTACAGTGTGATTGTGCTCTTCTTTTATTTCTATGATTTGAACTGAATTCGCCACACAGTTACTCAGCGTATTAGTTAATCATCATCTTACCCACTTCATTCCTTTATTTTGCAACTAATTTGCCATTGTTTCCAACCTTTTTTTCTTGTTTAAACTTGAGCTTTCTGTGCACAAGCGAAGTAAATATAATTTCTGAGCAATATTCATTAAGTTTAAAGTTTCTTGTCAGCTGACGTTACTTATCATTTTCAAGTATGTTAAAATTTTCCCGTGAACAAACTTGATAGTTCCTTTAGGCTGTAGGCAGCTGATGAGAAGCCAACGAATTAAATAATGGTACCCTCTTATTCGGCACAAAACTCTGTTGTTCTTGCTTTATTCAAGTTTATATTTTTTACCTTTCTGCTGTTTTAAATGTTATCAAAATGGAACAGCACTACGTATCACACGACTGATCGAAAGAAGTATATTGCACTGAATAACAGTGTGTAACCTCGTATCTTTATTAGTTCATAATGTGAACTAGTTAGTTTTATAAAAACCGTAGCCACAAAAACATATCCGCATTCCTCGATGACACATTCGGTTAGTGAGTCGACGTAGATTTCAGACAAGTACTTCAGTTGTCTTAGTTTAATTCAATAATAGTTATATTTTTATCATTTGAATTTAGGCTATTAAGCGTTGGACAGCGATGCATTCGAAGATAACGGATTATTTTTACAAATATTATTATTATTTGTATTCCCATGAGTTCCAAGTAGGACCTAGGGCTTCAAAAGACCATCTCCACTTTGTTCTGCTCTCCTCAGTCATCTCTATGTGGTCATACGATTGCCTATATGCTGTCATCCCCTCCTTCCATGATCTCTTTCATGTCACCCTCGAACAAATACACAACTTAGCGTTTTCCATTTGGATGCCGGTCGGGGGCGTAGCATGTGATTTCATTCAACCGTATCTTTAAGCGTGTATCCGATCTGTCTCCATCTCTTTAGTTTGTTGGTTTGTCCTTTTTCAGAGTTCCTTGTTGCTAGTTCTTTCTAGATGGCCACCCCACCTTCAGTAGGGAGTGAAGGCCTGATACAGCCTGATAGGAATAATTTTGGTTACCAGCTCGCCGAGTCTCTGAACCGTATAGAAGCACTGACTGACTTGAAGTTAGGGTTGAAAACCGAATCTTGTTCCTCATGTTAAATGCGTTAGATTTTCCCATTGATTTCAGATTATTGAAGATCTGTATCGCATTTCCGATCCTGGGTTTGACATCTGTATCCACGGTGTCACTTGTAGTTGAAAAGACGCTTCCTAGATAAGTGAAGGAAGTGACCTTTTTCAAATTTTCCCCAGTAGCAGTAAAAAGTGATTGTTTTTGTTGTTGTTTCAGAATCCTCATTGCCTCTTATTTCTCAGTGTTCATCTGAATTATTTTCATCGCCGCTTCTTCCACCAACTTGTCGGTTCTCACTTGTAGATCTTCAGGTTTCTGTGATACTAGACATAAATCAACTGACTAGTTCAGATCTTCTAGAGTTTTCTTATTAGTCCAGTGTATTCCTGTCTTCTCATTCCCCATAGCCTTCTTCGTGATTCAGTCTAACAAAATCAAGAATGTCATTGGCGATGGTATCCAGCCTTGTCTTACTGCTGTTTTCGCTTCAGAGGGTTCCGTTAGTTTTCCACTGTGTATCACTTTACATGTGGCATATTCATATAGCTGCTAAATGATACCATTAAAGCCTCGGCGCACTCCATAGTGTTGAAACAGTTTGCAAATCTATTCGAGGCCAACACTGTGAAATGTCTGATGAAATTACTTCCTAATTACTTACGAATTCCACATACTGGTCAAATATTTTCCCGTGATATTGTCAACTTGTACTGTTCAATAAATAGCTGTCTTACATGGGTACAATAACTGTAGACGGCTGAGCTTTATTTTATTCTGGCAATGGCACATGCTTTCTATCACATACGAATGCCTTGCTAAAGTGAACAGAAACTAATGTACCTCTAACTGCATATTACAGGTAGGTGCCAAAGGACATACATCAGAGGAACAAAAAGAAGGATCCATGACCTTCAGTGTGAGCGAAATACAAGAAAATTACACGCGGAAAGTGAAAGTGTCATTTGTAATACGATTACTCATCACTTGTCAGACAGTAATCATAAAACTGATACACTAAAATCTTTTAAAGATAATTAAATTTCAAGACAGCTTCCTAAAAATTACTGAATTGACTACACTTAAACGAATAAAACCGAATTTATGCATCCAGAAGGAAACTATGGTTAATCTTCCCTTAACTTGGTGAATATATTCTATGTTTTCTTAACTCCTTTACGTTCCCAGTGAAAAATAAGGATTCAAGCTAGAGGCTTGAAGTTTCGGTAGCAATGGTGTTTATTTTCATGGGATAGGGTTGCAAGCCACATGCCCATCCTTCCCTCTATACTAGTCTAATTACTGGCTTCGCGAGGTAAAGGATTCCGCCGGCTGGGAATCGAACCCCGGACAACATGAGTGGTTGGTGAGAATTCTGCCGCTGTACCACCGACGCAAATGCTTTACGTTAATTAATTATTTATTTTTTCTATTCATTTTGTCTTTATTCTTGATTGAACCATTATGGACTTCTGTAAGACTAAATTAATCTACCCTTACACATAAGTGTATTGTTAATTTTATCACTTTGTAACATTCGTTCCTAATTCTACAGTATTTCATAATGATTTTTGTGCATACTGCTAACGGGCTTTAACAACAGCTTTTATTTCTTTCATCATACTACTTAATCATGTGATAGTAATATCAGTCATTGTTATAATTAATTACGATAATATTTGAACATTTTGTATATTGATATTAAACTATTCATGGTTGTATGCAGCTAACGAGAACCTAGGAAATAAATATAATGACATTATTTTCCACTGCTGAATATGTTGATCTTGATCCGTTAAATCATAAATTTAAGGACTGATTCGTTATTTTCATATGAACTGTGATCAAGTTTTGACCGAGTAGTTCCAAAAATAATTAGATACCAAGTAGGAAATAGACATTATGCATTAGGAATTATATTTGTGAAATCTCAGCGAAATTGAAATGAGTAATTCCAACGACTCCTAACTTCAGCAAACTGGTCCCGATATCTTCAAGGAAATTAATCCAAATTTTAATCAATTATTTTAATTATATCAATTATGTCACCCCCTATTACTAAATAATAGACCACTATGTATTTTTGTAAGTATAAATAGGACTGTACAGCCTCTGAAGATGATTTCGTCGATAAAGAAAATTTTCTTCGCTGAATCTGTCTTTTATCTTCTTCATGAATAATATAGGTATATTTACGTGTAAAAGGACAAGTCTTGTCTTTATAAACCTTGTCAATTTATCTGAGTCATGAGCAAATACCGAAATTTGACCACAGACTTACAATTATTACTCTCTTGTTTCTCAAATGAAAAATTTCATTCAACAGACTGTGTTTGATTGTGACGAAGGTATCATCCACATACCTTAACCACAATCTTGGAGGACTAAAGCAACACATAATTGTATTTGTTTCTTATGAGTCCAAACAAACACTGGTAACCCTCTAGCAATGACTTATGTGCAACGGTAAACATCCTTTGAGGAGGTCCGGAACTGTTTGTCCTAACAGACGTTGGAATTACTTATTTCACTCTCTCTGAGATTATACAAACATGATTCTTACATAAAGATTCGTTAGATGTTTGATGTAGGAGATGGAATCACTTTGTACAGGAGTGTTAACATCTACTACGGTAAATGAAGTTGATGTGACTGGCCTTGAAAACCACCTAAGTAATCTGTTGAAGTGCTTTGTACATAATTAGTCAGTATCTCGATGTAGTTTTGCGAATAAACCGCAAACAAACTATCCTGCCCAGAGAACACATCTACATCAAAATCATCCGCCTGAGTGACATAATATGTAGTCAGTATGTATCAGTAGGATGTCTGAACTTTGTTGATGACCACGTTCAACAGGTACTTATCTCTTAAATCTAAGGAGTATTTCAGTTTTTACTGCAGTTCATCGGTGACAAAATCAGCGAAATAGTAACACAGTGCCTGAAAAATGTAGTTAAAATGGCTTCCAATGAAGCAGTGGTACGTTGTCTCTTCACTAACACCCCTATTTTAGGTTCGAAAAATAGGAACAAACTACCTAACTTTGCCTCCTCCTTTTGTATCTACCAACTTGACTGCAGCTGAGGAGCCAGCTGCATTGGGCGTACAATTAGGCAGATTCATTATCGCATTTCCAAACATCATCCAGCATAGTCAAACAAGGAACAAATAAGATCTATTTGCAGCTATATTTTAGCACTCTTTGTAGATAGTGAGCATAAAGTTGATGTTAATACATCATTTAAAATCATTTATCCCATTCCTAGTAATACTAATTTCGCTCTAGGAGTTCGTCTTCAAAATACAGCTGAAGCAATAGGAATCCACCTGAAGAAGCCAAAACTGTGTGTTCAGGAAAAATTCGTACAGCCACATTCCTCACCTAAGCCATTGTCACATGCATGTGCAAACGGCACTACTCTGCCCCCTTCTCCCTAAACCTTTTAAAAATTATAACTGTCCTAACTATTTCTCTGATTACTTCATCTTCAATTTTACCATTGTCCAAATCGTTTTATTTTTCTTTAATGACCTCTTACGTGTTCAACTTGTGCACTCACTTATTCCTTAATTACTCTCCATTTTTCCAAATGATTATGTATTATGCAATCCACTTGTTGTAACCATTTCTACCTTTCAATTCTGTATATTAATTTTCTTCGTTAATTATTACCCCCGTTTGACATTTTGATACTGACTGATTATCGCTAACAGGCATATCAGTGCCATTTGGTTGGTAAATTGTTGTGTATTGTAATAAAAATGCTTTGCATATTAGAGTACAGCTAGGGACAAGCATCTAACTGAAAAGTAAATATTGCTCCGCTCTATCTATGGAAATAACAATTTGTTGGAGTGTTTTCGGTTACTTCGTTTTGGCGTTGTTTAACTGAGCTAAGTATCTCTGCATGACGGATGGCACTACTTCTGTCACTATTAGAGGAATTCTTCTTAAATTAATATTTAGATTATGGGTTTTTGGTAAGGATTTGGGTCAGTCTCCCTGCATATTTCATCTTAAACCAACATAGAAAACTGTGGAGCACCAGACAGTCGTTAGGTACCAGTGTAGCGATATTCAGCACTGAGTACCCACAACCTAATGAGGTAACAAACCGCGAAATTTCAGGTTACTAGACCAAGGTAGCTGACTATTCAGCCACTTAGACTAAAATTCAATTATCCTTGAATTCTAGCTTTGTAAGTTCGCGATATGGCGCTATCTTCAACCATTGGCGTCGATAAACATCCACCTAGCCTTGATATGATGGACCCCACTGGTTATGTATTGAATCAATATCCCTGAGTAAAGCCACATTATTAATCTCAATTTATTAAACAGACAAAGATGGTAACAGAACAATGATTAGTTAGTAGCATAAAAAAAACTCAAAGAACACACTAGAATATTATTTCAGTAGGCAGTTACTCAGCTATGTTTTACTGACTGACTGGTTTCACCTTGGAACTTTACATGGAAGTGATACAGTTCGAGTTACCAATTTCCCTCCATGTAGCACACAAAACAAGAGAAAAGGGTAGAAAGAGATAATAAACAGAAGTGTGAGCAAGCGAGTGAGTGAAAAAGAATAGCAATATGGTGGAAGAACAACAGAGTTTTATTTGATATTACAAATCGCAAACAGTGAATGCATCTGCACCAACCATTAACAGTGATTTTGAGTCATATCACCACCAATTGTCTACAGCCTTCATTGGTTCTTACCATCCCGATGACGCTTACCAGTCAAGCATTCCATACCTCCCTACATGGCTGGCAGGTAGGCTGGCTTAAACTAACTGTTATTGATCTCATTGACTGATGAAATCATGTTGGTTTTGGTTTGACCACCACTAGCTCTTCTTCAACCTGATTCATCCTATGTCAGCCAACACTGCACATCGAGGAAGGCGATGGCTAGGGATGTATAACAACACATGTCCTAACCATCTCAATCGATGCGGCTGCTTCAAATCGTCACCGATTGATTTTCCCTCTTTATCTAGTACTCGCCCGATGCCTAACCCCGATATTACTCACCCTGTTATACCACATGACCTAATATTGGAGATAAAAAGCAGACACCTGTGATCAAAGACAGAAATCATCATTTAGCAAAAGTAACTCTATTAATTCACAGAAATAGTAATTTATATAAAAGTTTGTCTTAAAAGTTCTCAACTTACCATACAATGGAACAGTCAAAATTTATTAGCATCCATTTATGTGGATTGAAAGCAAACGACATAGCATACTACATAAAATGAAGAGGAAAGATGAGTTGTAGAATAAAACAAGTAAGGCATACAACATAAACTTGATTAATGCACCAAACTTGGATGAGAAAGAATGAAAGTAAGTTTAAATACTTGTAGAAAATGTTAAGACATTAATTATGTTTTGATTGGACAGCAGTTAGCAAGTAATTAATGTCATTTATTTATTATTTTGTTTGGTGTAGACTCGATTCTGTCAGTCATGTTTGCATTGTGGTCACCATGCTATGGGGCTCAGTATTAGGGTGCACTTTCAGTTGTTGTTGGTTGGAGGCAATCGGCAGAAAGCCTTGCTTGACCTAGGTTTCTTGCTTGTTGGCATCCAGTAGTACGCAGTATTGGCAGTCTTAAGAGAACTCGTATCCCCTCTGATATTTGAACGTGTTTCGCTTAGTGCTGCAGTCAGAGACGTTGCCACTAAGCTATTTGAGCTGGCGATTACTCTCCTGTATGACTGTAATGGATACTTTCATTTGGCACTGGATAGTAATTAGTGCCATGCGTCTAGCCCGCCGTTTCATTCATCCGCTAGCCTGAATATCTCAGTAACAATGTCTCTCTAACTGAAGCACTTGGTGATCTGGATTTGAATCCCAGAAGAGACATGAGTTTCTTCAAGACTGTGAATACGTCTTGCTGACGAAAGTCGGCAGGCACGAAACCTAGGCTCAAGGCTTTTTGAAGATAGCTTCTAACTATCTAACAACACTAACGATCTATGTATCCACAGATAAAAGTTGTACTCTTCAGCAACAGTTTACAAAACATGATGTTTGAAGGCTTAAAGAACAGTGGAGGTTGCAGTTTTTTAATGACAGGTGTTTGCTTTCATTATTACTGTTCGGGTGTTTTAGAATGGTTACTTTTGATGCTACTCACCCCCATTCAGATATAATATACGGCGTGGCTCTAACTGCCGATCCAGAGTTGACTCACAAGAACACAGCTCCTTAGTAAGTTATTTAGGTTTAGTTAGATCCCTGAGAAAATGAACAACAATCTTAAGCAGCACTTCAGAGAGGACAAAGAAAATAAATGAAATGAAATACATAGAAGAAACCATGTTACTCAATAATTATCCCATAGAACTTATTAATAAGTTCAGAAAACAATAAGTTGTAGGGGAGACACTGACGATGACATAAATATGAAGAAATTTGAAGCATCGACGGTTTTACTCTTTTAAGGAAGACACATTCAAAACTCCATGCAGTTTTCTTATTAAAGCAGGAATTAGGGTGACACTTAAATCTATAAACTCATTGAAAAAAATGCTTCAATACAGATAACAGAATTCTCAGCATAGTCTATCACAAAATATATACTCTGAACTTAGAACCTTCAGTTAAATTAGTAGTCGATAATGTGTCATCCGAAGCAGCATTGTTCTATTCAAAGTAAGCCTTATTAATCGGCTGTGCTTCTTCATTTACTTCGAAAGATCCGTAGGGGTAAGTGGAATTCTGTTTGAAAATAGGCGCGAATACATGTGGTTATTCAGAGTTGTAATTGAATGATTAAAACAACATGAAATAGAGTATGAAAAAGAGAAGACATAGAGTAAATAAGATACATTTTGATGGATGGAAGACTAGGTAGGCCAGCAATTTATTTATTTTATTATATTTTGTTCTTAAATTATTGTACTGATTATTATATTTATATTGTCATACTTTATTTTATTACAAGTATGGAATTTCCAGCATGTGATATCGGTAGCCCAAATTTAACAGGCCGACCACTGATATCAGATGTACGTCCGCTGGGGACCAAGCCTTGAGCCATACGCATGATTGGCGAGCGTCCTAATTACTCCGCCTCCGATGCACAGGCTGCATGTGTGAGTATGGAAGGTGATTGATTTTTGACCTTATAAGACAAAGTAATAATATCATGTAATGATTATGAGGTCAGTTGCATAGATCAAACTAGCTAATCGGGGTCTGATAGGTTACCAGAAAACAGGAATTTAATCAGCTGTAGAATGATTGATCCTGAAAAGGTGAGAAGCTTAAAAATAGGTCAGCTGTCATTTTGCACGCTAACATACAATCACACAATACTGTGGGACAGAGCTAACAGCTCTAGAAAGTCAAATAGGTAGAGAGGGAGGGAGGTTGACATCCTAAACTATGTGTGCAGTCAGAACAATAGACTTCAATCTTCGCCTACCATGGACTACCTGACCTATTGAAATATGATTGGTCATTAGTATGTACTTTGTTTTATATAACTGAGTAAATGTCATGCATTTTATTTTATTATTGTTAACCATGTTAGTTTTAAAGCGATTATAAAGAAACTACGGAATAATATCATCTCGCGAAATTTGTCTTCTAAATGCCTTAATAATTGTAAGTTTATGGTCAAATGTTGATCATAGTTCATGCAGTTTTGTTTGTTGATTTTGTTGTGATGTCTGTTCATGACTCAGGTGATTAGACAAGGTTTATAAAGACAATAAGTGTCCTTTTACATGTACATTTACCTTCGTTATTTTAATTTCGAACTCAGGAAACGTTGGAATTACTTATTTTAATTTCACTGAAATTATACACATATAATTTTTACATGTGGTTAAATACTCTCCAGAATTCTAAGGTCTAGGAAGATATCTTTCCTAAGAATGTTTTACTGAATTTCCTAATTCGTTATATTCTTCGAAATTCTGGATATTAAGACAAACAGCGGGTAGAGAGGAAACAGGCAAAAGTGGAACCACACAAAACCTTGGAGGATCTGGACTTCGCCAATGACATATGTGTCTGATTCCCCACAAACTGGAAGATATGCAAGTGAAAAGCAACAAGTTGGCAGAAGAAGCATCAAAGATAGGCCTTCAGGTGAACATAGAGAAAACAGAGGTAGGTGTGTGAAGATTCCTGGCCAACACCAACAGCCACAGCAACAACAACAGACATCAATCAGCATAAACAGGAGAAATCTGAAAGAAGCAACATCCTTCACCTACTGACCTACCTGGGAAACACCGTTTCAACTACAGGCGGAACCAATGAGGATATCAAGGCAAGGATCAGGAAAGCAAGGCAAGCTTTCAGCAACACCAAGAATGAAAAATAAGATGCCGATTTTCGACTTCAATGTAGTGTGATGCTATATGGATCGGAGGCTTGGCACGTCATGAAGGGCACCTCGAAAAAAACTACACACCTTCATCAACAGCTGTCTTCGTTCACTACTCAAGGTCACATAGCCGGCCAGATAATGTCAGCAACGGGAATCTCTGGGAATGAACCAACCTAGCAAAAACAAATTGTGCAAGAAATATGCAGGAAGAAATGAAGGTGGATTGGCCATACTCTGAGAAAACAAATCATCAAGTAACATCACACGCCTGAGTGGTACCAGAATGGGAAGCGCCAGATTAGTTGGTTGTCAATGTGAGGGCGACATGGAGGAGGTGATGCGAGGGGGAGACGAAAGCATGTGGGCAGACGTGGAGTCAAATGAAAGTGTTGGCAGAGAACGGAACGCAATGGAGACGTGCGGCTGAAGCCCTATGTTCGTGTAAGAATTAAAAGAAACAGTAATAATAATAACAATAATAATAGTGTGGTGAGAGCAAGCTGCTAGCCAATTGGTAGACATTGATCTACGCTGATTGGTGGAAATTAATCTAGGCTGATTCAACAACCGATCACAGCTGACCTAGACGTGGACAAATATGATTCGCAGACAAGTGGCTCGCATTTCCGAGAAATATGGAAAACGAGAAAGCAGAAGACTGCGTTGTTTGCAAACAACCAATCAGAAGACCGCCTTCTTTCTCCGGGCAGAGCCTTATTAATGTACGTAAAATACATATAAATACCTGTTGGTTTTCGTAATAAAACTGATCTGTTGCCTGGCCCTTGTCTTCTGTTGTTACAATAGTAGTGGAAACGTTCGTAGGCATATACAGGAAACTTACCTCAATTCCTTCCATTAAATATCTGTATTCTGGGCATATAAACGCTGAACCACTATAGGCTGCATCCACATGTAGCCAAATATCATATTTACTACAAATTGGTCCAATTTCCTTCAAGTTATCAAATCCACAGGTAGCTGTTGTTCCCAGTGTTGCACAACACTGAAATTACAAAGACAAAATTGAAGCAATCAACTAACTATCATATCTTAACAATCAGCCAATTATCATTGAAAAATGTGTATGAATTGGACTGCTGTCTAGAAAAACATAAAAATGGATTAATTCGATGGTAAGCGTAATTCTTAATGCCTTGGGTTCCGATAGGAACAGTGAGCCTCACAAGCGCATGATCATTCTGTCCCGTTCTCTGAGATCTTCTGTGGATGGTTCCATGATTATCCAAAAGCTCTCATCTTCTTCTCACACGATCTCCTCCATGTCACGCTCGCACCAACGTACAAATCGTCGTTTCCCATACAGGTTCCAGTAGAGAGATCGCCTGGCGCGCGATATCATGCAATGGTCTCCTCAGTGTGCGTTCGATCCGCCTGCATCTTCTCCGGCATATTGTTTGAGCAATGGACTGTGATTTCGTTCGTTCTCATAGTTCTTTATTCCTAACCTTCTGTTAATAATAGTCTGTAGCTTGTTAGGAACGCTTTACGTGACGCGCTCACTAAGTTTCTGGCTAATATAGAAGAACTGGCTTAAAATTGGTGCTGAAAATCTGAAGTTTCTTATTTATGCTCGTCGTAGCAGGTTTCCTAACTAATTTCAGAGTGATCAATTTCTTTCTTGCATTCCCAATTCTGCCTTTTGCATTCTCATGTGTGTAGGCTGTTGTTGAAACGATGGTTCCAAGATAAGTGGAGGAAGTAACTTATGTCGAATTCCTTCCGATGATATTGATTGGTGTTTGTTATTGTTGTGGGTGTTAGTTGGTTGGTTATCCTCGTCACTTTTGTCTTTTCTATGTTTCCTTGAAGTCCTGCCTTCCCTGGCTGCTTCTTCCGCCAAATTGTTGGTTTTCGCCTGCATATCTTTGAGTTTGTGTGACATTAAACGTGAATTGTCCACGAAATCAAGGTCCTCCGTAACCTTCTTAATGATTTAATTCATTCCTGTCTTCACAATCCCCACGATTAACCACACAATCCAGTGTACCACAAACAGAAATATCACCGATGATGATAGGCAAGAGCCTTTTCTTACTCATGTGGTCACTTCAAAGACTTTGCTGAGATTTCTGTTGTGGGTCACTTGACCCGTGGCATTTTCATACAGCTGCTAAATGGTGTTGGCATAGATTTGGAGCACTCCATAGTATTGAAGTAGTTCCCTAGTTACTTCACGCTGTTGGAGGCCTTTGCAAAGTGGATAAAGTTGAGGCAGGGATTTGACTGGCATCGTATACTCTATACCAAGATGATGCATAGCTTTGAGATTTGATCTGCATATGATTTGCTTTTTCTACGTCCGATATGTATTAGTATCAACGTAAACTTCTTGACGTTTTGCTCAACATCATTTTTTTTATGCAGACAGTTATTTACCACTGGTTTTTTAAGTAGTCATAAATAACACATCTATCAGTAGTGCTTGCCAACCAAATGGGATTTACCTAAACATCTCTCAGTCATTTCATTGGACTGAAGTGCAGCTCATCAGTGGCAGGTCCAAAATGACTCAAATCAGGCAGATGAATCTGTTTCCACCACCTAAATTTTCATAACACGGAAAAAAGTTATTTTGATGTAGTTGTGTTCTCTTAGCTGGATCGTTTATTCGCGAAGCTTTCATTGCCCTACTAGATGACATCTTCAGCGCACACTTCAATCCATTGAAGTGAGCTTTTAGATTTCTCCACGAGTTTATTCGTCATCTCCTCTGGTGAGTCACCTTGAACGTGACTGGTTGTTTTTGTGAGTTTTCACACCCTCTAGGCTACTTGTATAAGAACTGATTGTTTCCTTGACTTGAACTTTGACCCTTTGTGTGGGTGAGATTCCCTCCTTACCAGTTGGTAAATTTTGTCAATCTCGATGTTTCTATCGATTGATGATTCACTGGAATGCTAAGTTCCTAAAAATTCTTTAGCATTCTTGGTGTTTCTTCTGTCCAATATCTTGAATCGTCAATCAATAGACACATCGAGATAGACAAAATTTCCTCGTCGATAAGAGGGAAATCTCACACACAAGGGGTCAAACTTCAGGTCAAGAAAACAGTCACCATCAATACAAGTAGCTTAGAGGGTGTGAAAACACACAAAAACACCCATCACGATGTTCAGTGTCACCAGGAGAGATGACTAATAAACTCGTGGAGAAATGTAACAGCTAACTTCATCGAAGTGAAGTATGCGCTGAAGATGTTGCTTGGTAGGGCAATCAGAGCTTCGCAAATAGACCATCCAGCTCAGAGAATACAACCACATCAAAATCATCGGCCTGGGCTACAAATATTCTCTATCATGTCTAAAGAATAAGATGAGATCCTATCATTGTTTGATCCCAGACAGAAATATATGAAAATGTCCTGTATTCCAAACAACCCTCGGCTTATAAATACTTCCGTTTGATTCCTTTTCATTACTGCAATATCTTCTCCCATTGATTCTTACTGTATATTCCTTTGTCTTTAAATGAAGATGAGGCTTGAGATTATCTCATTTTTGCACCTGATGAGAGCATCTTACTGATAAGCACTTGGGTTAACGAAATATGTACTGTGATTACATTTTATATTAGTTTCATACAATAACTCTCCTCTATGAACTTCAACAGAGATAGAATAAGCATTGGTAAAGAATAATTTGGGTCATGTTTTACTTCGTCAATTCGTTATAGCTGCGCACAACACGTAAATCCATATAAGATAAGTTCATTTAAAATATAACACAATAATGCAGTATTACCAAGTGGATGATTAGGTTTCCAGAATAAATTACTGCTGCCCATTATCATATCAATTTAGTCACACGGCTCCATAATTCTTCCCATATACATATTTTCTGTCTTCCTTTTTCTTTCCTTCGTCTCTTTGTTGTGTGTTAGCATATCCATATCTCTGGTATAGGCGTTACATCATTTCGATTGCACGTGTGTGATGTTGAATCGATAAACGAAGATGCACTGATCAACCATTTTATCTCTCCACCTAACTACATTACTTTTTGATACATTCTTTCCGTCTCCCCTTACTGTGAGATCAAATACAAGTGGATGCCATGTAATGTTTGAGTTTTCTTCTAGGTTATTTAACTTATCAGGGTCAATCACTTGAGGTCTAGCTAAATTTCAATTTTCCAATAATCTAACTGATCCCTATTTACTAGTGTGACTTATGTACCTGCTATCATTTGGATCTATAGGGCCCTTAAGCTGACAAAGTTATTCTCTGAGAATGTTGGTTGATTTTAACACCACCCTAATTTCAGCCTCATCGAGAATCCTACGTAAGACCTCTGATGTTCTTTCTTTGCACGGCAGTACTACAGAGGCTTGTCAGATTTATTAAAACAAGTGATAATGCAGATTTTAACAGTCCGATTTCGTTTAACATCGTGAGTCAGTAATCCAGTAAGTAAGGATTTTTGCTGTCAGAAAGTCAGCATGAAAGAAAACATAAGGAGGATGATGAGGTTATCATAAAATTATTTGTACGCTCACATTTTATAAGAGTGAAGTATCTCGTAAGAAAAGGGAAAGAATCTGTTGTTAGGGTAGTGGTAATTCAGTAAGTATTACTGTATGACACTATGAGACTTTACCAAAATAAAATTTTCTCCATAAAGCAATTATACTCTACCACAGTGCCCAAGTTCTATTCTTATACCAGTGAAAAAAAGAACGATTTAAGAGTAATATGAATAATTAACATTACGTTGCGTTATATAGTCATACGAGATTGACCAAAGTGTAGGTTAACAGTAATAACACTAGCGAGGGGTTGTTGAACGCTTGAGTTTACGAATAGCTATTGTCTCAGAGCATTTCAGTAAGCTCTCTTAACTGTTTTTAAAAATAAATTTAAAGGCTGTTTCGACATCAATATTTTGGGTCATAGCGATTAGATGTTTAGCTATAGATGAAGTTGGTAGTCTGCCACCTGTGTCTATCGGTTTTTTAAGGTTCAACTGCTTTTCCAACCACTTCGGAATATGCTGTCGCGTCCTCACATGCGAAACGCCATTACTGTTCTCCATGTATGTTTGTCCATACACACACACACGCAAATTGGTGTTTAGTGTGGGATGTGACATAGTCACTTGTTCACTTTTGAGGTATGCAGTGGGGCATATTTTTAACTTTTTCAATAAATACAAACCGGGCTAAAAAATAAAATACTTCGTATATGATAAGTAGTATCTCCAACAAACAGGGTTGATATAGAATTAATAAATGGACAACTTTTCGACCACAATTTATTCCTCATAATCACATCAGTACATATTCACATGGTTTCAAGACTTACTTTGTATTCAATTGCTGGTTTGAAGGGAATTGAATGCTTATAGGATTTCATCATGGACTGATATAAGTTAGAGAACACTGGAAAACTTGGGAGTACTGAGCAGATATTCTATGCTGGTTTGAGACTCTTAAACAATAGGCACCCATCAACATAGTTCGAACCCAGGACCTTCGGGTTATAGGACGAGCTCGTGGGCTATTCAGCCAACGGGTCTCGATCCAGTAGCCAGCTCATGAATTCCAACTTCTGCCAATTCATGATATAGCACGACCACAAGGCAACAGCATTGACGGCGAGTATCTGTCTGGTTACGATTTCCCACGAGAACCCACATAACCACCTATCTGAATGAGGTTAATCGCCAGTAAGCATCACAATAATATTCGAATGTTGGTTTGCAGGGTTCGAACCCTGATGGTGGGTGTGTACTGCTGAGTAGTCCCGAATTAGGGCCAAAATAGCTGTCCAGTACTCCCAGGTTTTTTATGTCAGCTTAATATGTCTAATAAGTTTGCCAGTTCGTCTTCAGAGTAAATGATTGGATATTTCAGTGTACTGTTGTATGCTGTTCCACGTCAGAGCTTCATGCTGACGGATTCATTGTGTTTTACGTCAAACAGGTTGAAAGTTATCAGCATTCATCTTCAAAATGCAGCTACTAGTTTGAATAATAATCATGTTAGGTGGAAAATCACTTCACTGAAGGTAACAAGAATCTGCATCAATTCCACGATAATTATGGTGCACACGCAAATGAACACACACACACACACTATTACATATCTTAAGTGCATTTCTCCTGCTTACATAATTAGTCCATGCAAACACTAAATACTAAAAAAAAGCAACCTAAATACATTTACTTTTTTTCAGATAAATTTGCATAAAAACGAATATTATTAATTCTGATTTATGAAAACTTACAAAAAATGGAATAAGTCCATTGTTAAAATCTTCTTCAATGGCTTTTTCTAATAACTCTACATCCATTCCGTAATGTTCATTCGATTTGATAGCTCTTAATTTTATTAAGCTAATCATACCAGCTCGTTCAACAGAACTGTGTGCCTAGAGGTTACAAAACAACAACAAAAATTAAACTCAGTGGTAAACGATTCACATAAAAACCCAATTGATTTCATGGTAGGTTTCACCACGAACTGAAATGGGCTGAAGAACTAGTGAAAACCTGGCTGGGCGAACCAGCAGAGAAGTGTTTTTAGACCCACTTTGGAATCCTTCAGTAGTATGCATTCACAACCATCGTCTCATAAGTTGTACGCTGTGAATTCGATCTGTAGTGATTTTATGAATGTTTACTATGGTACAGCCCAAACCTAGGACGGGATAACTGTCCAGTTTATCCTAATTCCCATTGATTCTCCAATCAGTGTCTGTTATCTGCCTTAATACCGATGAAATTTCCACAGATCCAACTAACTGGAAGGTCCTATAGGCTGAATTTCCACAATGAAACCAGCTAAATGTTTCTACTGGTAACTTACAGTAAAAATAAATGAAACAAATTATTGTTATTCATCTCTTCAGTAGTAAATGGAGTATACAGCCTCTGTAACACATCTGCATTCAGTCTGGTTCTTTGCTACTACCTTCGACTGCATTCACAACTACCGACAAGCCTTCTGTCTTTCATCACATGGTCTCGTACATGTCACTGTCTGAGACCCGACTCGACGCTCCCCACTTGGGTTCCACTCGAGAGCTAAACGCTCAGTATTACTCAACGGTCTTCTTAGAGTATGTCCAGTTCATCTGTATTCCCTTTACTATATTTGTTGGTCTATAGGTTCCTGGTTGATTCATCGCTAGACTCCCTTGTTGCTAATCATTTCTGACCATCTTATCTCTAGTACGGAGTGAAAGTAGTTGTTGATTATAGTTTGCAGCCTGTTTAAAATGCACCTGATGACACGGAGGCCGAGTCTCTGAATCACAAGAAAGCGCCAGCATGACATTAGTCTTAAGGATCCAGATACTGTTGTGTGTACTGAATGCTGTAAATCTCCAGATTGATCTCAGAGTACTAAAGGTGTATCCTGCTTTCCTTACCCTGCTTTTTATGTCTTCACCCATCCCACCCTCTGTAGCTGAAACGATGCGACCCATCCAAGCAAAGGAGGTGACCTTCTTTAAATTATTCCTATCGATGAAGATTGTTGTTTGTTGCCATTTGGCTAATTTCATCATTTATATATTCCCTGTGTTTCCCTAAGACCCCATTTGTGCTTCCTCTTCTGGCGAAAACATAGCTGGACAAAATAAGTAGAAGAAATGGAGATGTGTCAGACATCCATACAGAAGACTATCGAGTAACATCAAACGCCAAGTCATGGCTCAAGTGGAACTCAAATATAAAACGATGGTTGAAGCGTCTGAAGGTGACACAGAGGAGATCGTGTGAGTAGGAGATAATATGGTATAAGCTATCATGGAGCCAGCCAGTTGAAGAGGACTTCAGGGAATAGCATTAGTGTTGATAACAATGATATCCGTTCCTACTTAGTAGGCCACGAATATTACCGAGTTCTTCAGTTTCAGTGTTTTAAGTGAACAGATAATTCCAGCTCGGTGAACCGGAAATCTAAATAAATCACGTTTGTATTGTAGAGGCGCGAAACTCAAGAAGTGAGTGTGCTGTCCAGTTGAAGTAGGTTTTCGATGCAATCAGCTACACATATTTCCATCTGTGTGTGAAAAGAATTAGAGAATTAAATATAAGGGATAAATTTATGATATTTCTGAATGTATCTCCCTGAATCAGCAACATGCCTCTGATGAAAACAATTGATTACATAGGTAATGAATTGATAAAGCGAGATATAGAGATTGGAATTCCTGCGTCTCCCCTAAAGGAACTTTCTTAAGGTGTATAGTGAACGTAAACTTTCTGTTCAATAAAGAAATTAATAAACAAACAAATGGTTTCGCCACGGGATCACCTCTGGGCCTCATCCTAGCAGAATTTTTGGTGGCGAAACTAGAGAATGGTCCTCTTAAAGATACAATATATAATATTGATATCTGTTGCCGATATTTCGATGATTTTCAGGAAAGAAAGTGAGACTAAGGACATATTAGATGAATTCAGTATTGCACATCCTGCCATGCACTTCACTAAAGAAGAAGAAGAAGACAATGACTCTATCGCGGTTTTGGACGTCCTAATAACTAATCGAACACGGAAAAATTTGTTGTCGATTGCATCAAAGACCTACGTCAACTGGACAGTACACTCACTTCCTAAGTTTTGCGCCTCTACAATACAAACGTGATTTGGTTAGATTTCTGGTTCACCGGGCTGGAATTATTTGTCCAAATGAAACACTGAAACTGAAGAACTCGGTAATATTCATGGTCTACTAGATAGAAACACACATCCTTAGATATCTTGTTACTAACATCTATTAGCTAATTGTTTTGATAACTTTGGTCCTCTTAATTTTAAGCCCCTCTATCCCTGAAGCTGATTAACTAGAATAACCACTTGATTAATGGACCTTTTGGTGTAGAATCAAAACCTACATATTAGTGTAGAGTCGATGAAGAAGGAACTAATTGAAGAGGAATATATTTCTTCGCTCAATCTGTTGTTTGTTTTCTAAATCCCTGTCTGGGAATTTGGAATAATAATTAATTATGATAAAGAAACATTCAAAGACGTACTGGAGAAGATAAACAGTTCAGAATATTTTTCTTACCTGAACAGAATAATAACCGACAAGTTTAGATAAGGCTTCATAATTGGTTGCATTTGGATGAAAACTTTGATATTCTTTAATAGATTTATTACGTGAAGCCAATAACGCCACTAGTGTTGATTCACTACAACTGCCCTGAAATAAATACACAATAAGGATAACTATTAATCATAATTAAGCCTCGAAAAGAAGGTTACTGAGGTGTGTTGGTGGGGCGCGGTACATATAGTGCATTTTATGTTTTCTTAGAGTTCATGAATTTTCTCCCATCCAGAAATTTATGTAAAGAGATTTTGTAGTTCAACGATAGCATTTACATACATTTTTTTCCAGCGGAGACTTAATATGTAACATCCTTAGGAGGAGAATTTCATCTTTAAGTAGGACATTCTTCTGAGCGATTAGTGTTTTCTTGTAATTCACTTGGTAATCAGAAGTCTAGAGGACAAGATCTAGTATTTGACCACTCCTATGCGCATATATCAGTTCATCTTTTGGTATGGAGTTAGATAATTTGGTCAATGGACACGTATTCTGTCCAATAGGGTTCAAGAACCCTACCCCTCATACTTGTAGAAAGGCAGTGGTGGCTCTATAAGGAGTACGATAATCGAACACCTTGTCAACACTGCTCCTTTCCTCTAAACATTCACTTCCTTCAAAGTAATCTACAAAATGGAGGGGAACAACCTGCGAAAGGCAATACTCCTTCACCTTCTCTGTATTGCTGAAGCCTTAACCACTTAGTTAGAAAACAACTAGATTAATGCGTGCAACAGAAAATTATTCAGCCACTTCTACTATCATGGTAACAACCTTATTGATTTCTACTGGCCTGAATTTTTTGTGCTTGTATCCTTATAATTCTCATATTTCCATTTAAATCTTACATAATTCCGTATTTCCCTTAGTTTTTATATGCACCCTGCTTACAACTAATTCATCGGATGATTCACCTTATTACGTAACTCTGATACACTTGTTCAACTCCTCTTATGCACTGACCAATATCAACAACTATGACTGTGACAAGTGATCACTTTTGTTACTACCTTATTGCATGAAAAGACGACTGTATATAAATGCGATTGTGCCACTAAGGAGGAGAATAAATTCAGCCTCTTCGATGAAATGCGTGTTTCGCTTTCTTAAAGTTAACGTGTGGTGCTAGTTGTTCCATTCCTCCACCCAAATTTACCATGATTTGAAGCATAATCCATCTTGATAGACGTCAATGTATTGTCCAATAAGCGTAACTGCCTAATGTCCATTCGTTGAGTTTCCTGGGGTTAGAATAACTTCAAGGTTAGTTCTTCCATTCAGAAAATCACCAACAATTAAGGGGTACTCGTTAGTTTTTTTCAGCACTGCACACCTATGCACATCATGAAGAAGCCAAACACTGGTAGCCATTGAATTTCTAACCAGTGGTTTAAAAGTAATTCGCTTGTAGACTGAACTAACGGTACTATGTTCGATAAATGACCAGATTTTAGTTGCACATTGTATGTGAATTCCAAAGTAGGACTAAACTGGCGTTCACTACTCATTAGTTTCTTAACTGACGTCATTTAGTGATAGATAAGATCTACACTGAATGTAGTGTTTCTTATTCTTGGCTTGAATATGAAGGAATTTCACTTTTGTTTTAAAAAGATAATAACAAACTACTTAAAAAGCTTACGAGTAGCTTTTCCAAAGCGTCTAATGTTTTGCTAAAAGCTTGTAACAGTTGTTTTATTTATACACGCGGTTGCTAAAGAAGTCTGTCTATCGGCAAGATTCAATACCGAAAACTTCATACAATTAGATGATTTATAAAACAATTAGTTGGAAACCATTTGCATCTACAAAGGAAACTATGTAATTTGTAAATTTCCAAAATGATTCTACGTATTTACCAGTTCTTAAATATATCTAATGGAAATTCGAGTGATGTCAATTGACCGGGCTTTTTGAACTGAGTCTACCTGAGTAAAACACCAGTGAGCTAGGCTCAAAATGAGCAGCGAAAAGATAGTTCACTGTTAAGATAACCTCAAACTATCCGACTACTTCACAGGCCAAATGGTCCATAACGGAAAATTCAGCAGAGCTCTTGAAGTGAAAACAAGATTAAGATATTGCTGCCTACTATCACTGATGATATCACTGACTGTGATGGACTAGATCATGCAGCAGAACGTGGTGTGGAAGAGGAGGTGAGGGCAGGAAGACGAAATATGTTGAACCACTTCTAGAAGATCTGGATTTCTTGAATGATATATGTCTGTTGTCACATAAATTCGATGACTAACAGGCGAAAACCCACAGAATAGCTGAAGAAGCAGCTAGGGAAGACAGGACTTTAAGTAGCCATAGAGAAGATGGAGGTGATGAAAGTTTCCACCCACCAACAAGAATAACAAGCATCAATTAAGGCGAGAAATCTGATAGGTACTGCTGCCTTCACTCATCTTGAAACCATCGTTTCAGCTGCAAGTATAACGAATGAAGATGACAAAGCCAAATCCATAGAGGCATACCGAACTTTCATCACTCTAAAATTAATGTGGAAATCTTCTGCGATCAGCATACAGAATAAAACGAATAAAACGAAAAGCATTAGTAACACACCAATTGAAATATTCATCAACAGCTACCCGCCTTCATTCTATACCCAAAGATGAGATGGTCAACTAGAAAGAATTGGCAACAAGGAAACATATGAACGAACGAATCAAGATCCTCAAGTATAGGTTTATAGGGATTTGACTGATTGGTTACAGGATTTCATCATTAGCTGACATCGGTCAACTATTGGAAAACCTGGGAGTAATGGACAGCTGTCTCGTTAGCCTAGTTTGGGACCCTTCAGCAGTACACACTCACCACCATCGTTTGAACCCAGGACCTTCTGGTTACAAGGCGAGCTCGTAGACCATTAATTCTCTGAGACCCAATCCATTGGCCAACCTATGAATTCTAACTTCTGCCAATTCACAACATAGCTCGACCGCTAGCCAATGTCAGCTCATGATGAAATATTGTAAGCAATCAATCAAATCCCTACAAACCAATACTTGAATATCAATGAGATGATCACTAGTGACTGGCCCTATTTATGTAGGTGGTTACCTGGGTTCTAATGGGAAGTCGTGACTAGCAGAATGCAGCAGGTCGGGTGTGAGGAAAAATACTCGCCGGAGACAACGGCTAGTGGTCGCATTACGTCGTGAATTGGCAGAGGTTAGAATTCATAGGTTGACCAATGGATCGGATCCCAGTGACTTAATGGTCTACGAGCTTGCCCTGTAATCAGAAGGTCCTGGTTTCTAGCCTTGGCGATGGGTGCGTACTGATGAAGAGCCCCAAAGTAGACTGACGAAACAGATGTTCAGTACTCCCAGGTTTTCCAATGGTTCTCTAACTGATCGACGTCAGCTCACGACGAAATCCTGTAACAAAACAAGATCCTATTTCTCAATAAATACTCCGAAGAAAAAGGAGATATATAGGACACACACTGAGGAGGCCATCGTCGAATGGTACCCTGATGGGAAACAACGAGTAGCGCGAAGATCCGAGACTGACTTATGAGTGGAGATGAAAGCCTATGGGAGACCACAAGGCCATCTAAAGAAGACTGCGGAAAAAAAAAAACTGGAGATATTCAGTAGAAGTATTGTGTTCAACCTGCAACCCAAGGGAACAATAATAATTACAATAATGTGACAAACACTACTGTTTGATGTGATTGATTTCCCATTACCCTTATCAATCAATAGTACAGTAATAATAATAATAATGGCAGCTTTATTCTGCACCAAATATTTGCACAATATACACAATTTTTGGTTTAGTTTATCAAGTAAAATAGCAATCTAAAATACAGTACGTCATGTAATACTCTACTATTCGATCGGAAACAAAAATAAAACAAAACAATAATAATAATAATCCCCTATGATATTTCTTCCTTCATCTGAGAGAAATGTGCAACAGGTAGATTGAAAGACAAATCAAGCATGTTCGCATGAGTACACTTTGCGATTTTATTAATTACGTCATTGAATGATCAAAACAAAAAGAAGTAGATGACAAATTTTTTTACGCAATTTATTAAATGGAAATTGATTACGACACTTTCTTGAAAACAAGTTAAATTTCACTTATATTCTAACGCATATCATCATACCTTGTTGAGCTGATTATTTGTATCATGCTGCACACATGTCATTTAATTCATATAATCTGTTGAAAATTGAACAATCCCTTATTTTATTTTTTTTGCATTCAAACATTATCAGACTAATAATTTATTTTTTCATAATTTCACAATTATTCTGTCATAGTATCATCATGTGAACTGATCTCATGCATATCACTGATATCATTTTGTGTAATTATCGTAAATGAAAAATGAGGACTTTAACGGAATTGTCAACCTGAAACCAATCTGGAAGTCTTCGTCACTCACCATCAACAACAAAATTCGAATTTTCAATACAAACGTGAAGTCAATTTTGCTTTACGGATCAGAAACTTGGCGGGTCACCAAGAATATTTTCAAAAGGTTGCAGACCTTTATCAACAACTGTCTTCGCTCTATACTAAAGATTAGATGGCCGAAAAGAATCACCAACAAGAAGCTATGGGAACAAACGAAACAGGAACCAATCGCCCAACAAATATGCAGGAGGAAGTGGAGATGGATTGGACACTCGCTGAGGAGGCCGTTGAGTGACATCGCGCGTCAGGCCCTCGAGTGGAACCCGAAAAGGAAGCGGCGAGTGGGACGTCCAAGGGTGACATGGAGGAGATCGTGTGAAGAGGAAGTGAAACAGTATGGAATAACATGGACGCAAGTGAAAAGTACAGCACAAGACAGAAGCAAGTGGAGACGTGCAGTTGAAGCCCTATGTTCCACTAGGAACCCAAGGGAACAATAATAATAATAATTAACGGAATTGTAAAAATTAAACTTGTGATACTTTTGGTAAGCATAGTAACAGGTATCATTGCTAAATATTCGAATTCTGCCTAATATAACTCTGCAAGGTAGCACTTATTGAGTTCAGGAAGAAAACTCCCCATTTTTCGTGTAATTAAGGAAACATGAGTCTGTGAAGAGATTTCATATATTTCTTTTGATT